CCAGTACAGCAGCGTCCGTCACGACACCCTCTTTGATAGCAAACTAACTAGTCACCAGAAACCTCGGCTTGCCCCTAGCTCTCCCTAATTTCATCCTTTGGGCTCTGCTGCCTGGCATTCCTTGGACTTGCTTCCGCCACGTTCCATGTGCTCGTCTGTGCTGACGGCTGTCCATCTCCTGATACCACCTTCTGTATCTGGAAACAGACCTCAGATGGCTTCACGGTTTGCCTCCCTCTTTGGGTAACAGACGCAGGCCGGATGGCTGTGATCCTGAGCCTCTGTCGGGTGCCTGATCGACACAGAGACGGGTCATCTAAAGGCCGTTTCCCAATTTGCCGAATCTTCCACTCTCTCTTTTTTTTTTTTTTGCGTTACGCGGGCCTCTCACTGTTGTGGCCTCTCCCATTGCGGAGCACAGGCTCCGGACGCGCAGGCCCAGCGGCCATGGCTCACGGGCCCAGCCGCTCCGCGGCATGTGGGATCCTCCCGGACGGGGGCACTAACCCGTGTCCCCTGCATTGGCAGGCAGACTCTCAACCACTGTGCCACCAGGGAAGCCCCGAACCTTCCACTCTTGGAAGACAATGCAGTTCAGAGGTTTGGCAGCTGAGGTTGGGAGAAGGAGGGGTGGGCCAGTGGCAAAGCCGAATGGTTTCTAAGGGAGGGGGATCGGGCAAACTGAAGATGGAAGAGCAACAGTGCGAAAAAGGAGAAATGAAAGATGCTTAAAGGGAAACCGATACGACATCTGACGGCGCAGCTTTGAATGTGTCCTCCAGGAGGGCTGGGAAATCAGATGGTCTGGGTGTGCACCAAGGCTGCCCTGCTCACGGCTTAGATCTGGGCAGCTCTCAGCTCCCTCATTCACAAGATGGGGATCACGACTTGCCTCCCTCATAGGGTTATTGGAAGAATTAAATGAAATCATCAAAGTAAAGCATTCAGAACAGTGCCAGCCAATAAATGTTACTTTCATCATTATTATTCTTGTATATTAAAATACAAATATTTTTAAGCCACCTAATTTATTTTATTTTTAAAACGAAAATTGTACATATTTAAAGTGTACACCATGATGACTTGATATACATATACATATAGTGAAATGAAATTGTGGTATAAATTATACAATGGAGTATTACTCATCCTTGAAAAAGAAAGATATCCTGCCATTTGCAACAAGATGGATGAACGTGGAGGCCATTACGCCAATTGAAATAAGCCAGACACAGAAGGACACAAAATGCAAGATCACACACTCATTACATATGGAATCTAAAAAAGCCATATCCTACCTAAATTCTGAGATTGTATGAAGAGGCTTAAATACTATTGATTGACTAGTGGAACATTTCTATCTCTTATTATTAGATTTATAAACTAAAAATACTATTCACACCATATTGGTCAAAATCAGTTTGCTATGGCAACACCACCCTAGTCCCTTACAGTTTACTTTCTTCCCTTTGCTCTTTGTAAATTGCTGGTGACAATATCTGCCTGTTACTTCCCACTTCTCTGGTACACAAGGATGTGGAATTTAAAATTGTGGCCTTTAAAATGTAACATGTAAATGTCATCAAAAGTGATAGCAAATAAAAACAACATGCCATACTTAATAACCTTTTGTAAGAGTCATTAAATTATAACAATAATGCCATCTGTAGTAAAGGCTATCAGATTTGGGAAGAATTATTAAAATTTACAGATTAACCTTAAATTTCTTTTGTTTTCCTATTATGGTGTCTTTTAGTTAACAGGCCCATTATTTTCCAAATGTAAGTTAGTTATTAACCTCAAGGCCAGTCGGAATTTCTATTTTTCTTTCTGCTATTCAGCCACTCTCCCTGAGCTGTTAATGGGCATTGAGATGCCTAAAATACGTAAAGGGAAAACAGAAGTAGAAAAAAAAAGAGCCCCAGAAGCGAATGAGCAAATAGATCCAGAATAATTGGGAGTTGGATGCCGTAGTATATATTATTTTCTATGGGTAATAAGTGGATTTTAGAAATACTTAAAACATATAGAGGCACTATATATAAAAATGTATCAATTGAAGTCTACATTTATTTGATAGCTACTTCAGTTTTTTTTTTTTTTCCTATAAAAAGTGAATTTCTGTTCTCCCAAGATCTAACCATGAGGTAAATCAGAGGTCAAGGTTCTGGGCTACTGTACAGAGCAAGGAGTCAGGAGTCATGGTCTCTTGTGGGTGGGCGGCCAACAAAGCTCTTCGGCAGGACAGCAGTCAGCCTCCTGTCACTTGGGGGACTCAGAACCAATTCAGACAGGCAGCAACCAGGGAAAAGCCATTTCCTTCTAGCCAAAGAGAACTGCACTTGGACGAGATGATGCAGAAAACGCGGGGTAGGAGACCTTTCCAATTTGTGGTTTGGAAGAGAACAGGACTTCTGTTTCTATTTGTCTGACCTCTGAGACATCGTTGCCGTAACTGAAAAGAGTGTGATGGACAGTGCTGACTCTAGGAGTCTTTGAAAAATGCTTCCCCTCTGGCCAAACATACAAGTAGAATTCATTTTCCATATTCAGAATCTGGATTCTCTGACTTTTATATTTAGATGTGCTCAGCCAACCGTAAGGACCTCACAGCACGGAAGCGATGCTTTCTGAAGCCCACGTTGGAAGGGTAAGGACCCGCTGTGGTGATACATGCGTTTCCAGTGCGTGTGGACCCAGGACGAGGGTTGGAGCTGTGTGCACCCCCGGGGATGCTGTGCTGTGAGTTTGCAGGGGCTCCAGTATGGGCTGAATGGCATCCCGACAAATTCCACGTGCTGAAGTCCTGGCCCTCAGTCCCTGAGAATCCAGAGACGGGGTCTTGAAAGAGATAATGAAGTTAAAATGAGGTCATCTGAGTGGGTTCTAATCCAGTATGACTGGTGTCCTTGTAAGAGGAGGAAATCTGGACACAGACATGCACAGAGGGAAGAAGTGGAGACACAGGGAGAAGGTGGCCGTCTGTGACCCAAGGAGATCTCAGACTCGTAGCCTCCGGAACTGTGAGAAAATAAGTTTCTGTTGTTTAAGCCACCCAGTCTGTGGTACTTTGTTACGGCAGCCCTGGAGCCTAATACAGTTCTATTCGTAGTAGGAGCTGTCAGACCTCATTAGACAGTCCACGTCTACCCTCGGTGAAGGCTGGTCCCCGGCACCGAGACCAGGAGGAACGCCACCTAAAGAGAGGGGTTTGGTGGCCACCAGTTAGACCAAGGGCCCCCAGAGTGAGGGAGAGGAAAAGGGCAGTGTCTGAGAGGAGGACCCGACTTTTTAATAGAAAATCCTCTTCTGCCTTTTTATCACAAAAGCTTTACATGTTCATTGTAGAAATAATAGGAAATACAGATGACAACATGAAGAAACAAAATATAACTCTGATCTTACCTCTTGGAGGTAACTGTTCATTCATTGTTATAAATCTTTCCAGAACTTTTACTATAAATATACGAATTTACACACACATCCACACACAGCCAAGATGGAATAATTTACTTTTTGTGATCCTTTATCTATTTCGATAATTTTAGACTCATAGCATCTTTTCTAACGTCTGCTACTTCACTATATCGACCATATCCTAGAAATGGAATTGGTGGGTGGGAGGCGTCCAAGCTTAGGCAGATGTAAAGGCTCTTGCTATCTGTTGCCAACTTGCCTTCCAGAAATCATGTGTCCATTTATATCTGGCAAGTCTATTTTGAGCGCTACACAAGCCTTGTAACTGCTAACTCTTGACTCAGCTGTTCATGGGCTTTCAGCCAATTCCTAGGGAGGAGGGTGCGGAGACCAGAGGACACTGAGATCTGTGCCGCCAGTGACTCGGGACACTCGGGGTCTTGGTGTAGGGCTGGGAGGGGTGTCCGGTGCTGGGGGGAGCACTTCTCACCTTAGCACAGCGGCAGGAGGAGGGCACCTGGCGGGTCAAGTGTGCAGCCCAGATGGCAGTTGCGAGCTCCGCCAGGAGGGCCTGTGCCGGGTCAGCCGCTGGGCGCTGCTGGGAGAGCCCGACGTTCCTGGGTGTGCAGGGTGGGAAGTGTGAGGAGGGAACTCCGGGGGCGTCCCTGAGAGTGGGGGGCGGCCCCACGAGCTATGAATGGGCTGGGAGGGCCGGGGGCAGAGGGAGCCTGAGGTCACACTGTGGGCCCGGGTTGTTAATTTTATCCCGCTGCCTGGGAGAACGCAGGTTCTGCTCGGGAGTGCGCACAGCGGGGCTGATGGCCTTTGCGGGTTTTTCCGTGTTAATGGAAGATGCGATTTGACTTTGGTTCTTTGCCCAGGATAAGAGATCCTGGGGGGGCGTTCTTAAAAGGAAAGCCAAGCTAATCTTAAATGAAAAAAATGTTTTACTTCATAAACCTTGAAATTATATGACATTCAATAAAATGTGTTGGCAAGTAAGCTTCTGCCACAAAATCTGATAAATAAAATAGGTTAATGCCTCTCAGGAGAAGAACCTGAATTCCACTTATCATTAGATAAGAACTTTCAGTGAGAACCTCTCTAACAAAGATGACCAAATGGTCTCTGATTCAGGGGAGAACAGAGCCTAGCAGAAAAGGAACAGCATCCTCGCTGGGTCCAGAAAGGCTCCGGCCCCTTCTCCCTGTGTCTCAAGGTTCCCGAGCACCTGGCCATCTTCGGGCCTTTGCAGGTCAGACACGTCCTGTGCGTCTGAAGCACAGTCCTGTTGACCTGATACACACCTCGCCTGAGAAATAACGATATGCTGGAGGTATGAGTGAAGAATTAACAACACTGTGTCTGACTTCCCTGAAATGTAGACTTAGCTGTCAAAGTTGCTTCCAAAAGTAAACTTCTGTACACTTGCCCAAAGCAGGGAATAAATTTCCAAGAAAACAAACAAACAGTTCTTCCCCTGGGGTTGTCTCCTTCTTTCTGCAATTGGCACCGGAGAGAATTAACCACTCATCATCTCGAGCGTACAGTGAAACGGTTACGGAGAAAAGGGTCGGGCTTACCATCTGCCACCGGCTTGGGCTGGGAGCTCTTGAGCCGCAGCGAGGGCCGGAAGCGGGTGCGGTCGTTGAAGCTCCAGCTCTTCTGCACTTTGGTGGGGCTACCCTCGGTGGTGATGTCCGTGCTGGGGGACCGCCTGTCGCCCAGCGAGGCCTGCCTGCTCTTGACGCTCTGGCCCCGAGGGCTCGCCATGCGTACGCGCTCCTTGAAGCTGAGCTTCTGGCTGCGGGCGGAGCACAGGGCAGCGTTAGCATGTTTCGAGCAGTGCCGTCCACCCACGCGGGTAAATGCTCGGATGAAACTGCATACGACCATGTACTTCAATACACAGAATGTTCTTAGCAAGTAGGGGCACAGCGATACAGTATTCCCTTATTGCAAATTTGAGCTTTATTGAACCTCTCTGTTTGCATTCAAGTCCGTCTCATTCCACAGTTTTGCACACCCTTCCTGGATTCAACGAAGCCTGAGACCAAGCACAGCGGTTTGTGCACAATGACACTGGGAAGACCAGAGAACTGGTTTGGTGTTCGCCTTAGAAACAGATTTTTAGATTTAACCTCAACTTTTGAGACCTAAAAAAAAAGGTTTTGTTTTTTGTTTTTTTTCTGCGGGGGGTGGGGAGCATATCTCTTTGTAATTTCTAAAACATTTGTACGGGAAAATGGGGATGACAGTTACTCATGCACATGTATCTACAGGCTGCATGCATTTTATACTGCAGGCAAGATTACGATTTCCAGATCCATGCAGTCTCAGAGCGGCTGGCGGCACTGCAGATGATATTAAACATACAACACTTAACACCACGTTCATTCTGGTGAGACAAAAACCACAGAAGGTAGAACGAACACAGCTTATAATGAACGAGATGACTGACTGATGGAATGAGATGCTGTGTTCACCAACAGTTTCCTGATATTCGACAGGTTATTGATTTGCTGTGGCAGCTCCTGGTAAATTATATTTGTTCACGCTCAGTTCTCAGATGCCAGCTAGGCCTGAACTGAGGTCGGTTGATAAAGGAAGTGTTAACAAGGCAGCAAAACACAGAGTGCGTCTCCGGGCCCTCCTGAGCACGAGTGGGGTGTGAAGGACCGGGAAGGACAGACTGCAATCAGAGACCTGGATTTGGAGGCCTCGCCTCTAGCTTGGAGATAAAAATAGCAACATAGCTGAGGGACTTTTTTGTGGGCATCAGATGAACTGTATGAAGCTTTGTGGACCCAGTTTGTTTGTATTCTTGTTCATTTATAAACTACTGTGCTATTCATTAGAAAGTGATGCCATGGGGGGAGGGATAAATTGTGATATTAACATACATACACTACTATATGTGGAGCCCTACGTCAAGGACACCCTCCATCAAGGACACAGGACAAAAACTCCGGAATTAACCGAGCCCCCATAACAACTGTTGCCACGGTCTCTCCTAATCTAAACTGGACAGCCCCCTGGCTTCCATACTAGGCAAAGTATTCACCATGTAGTAACCTTGTATCCTCCTGACCAATCACCTAATGCCATCCTGCCAGCAGGAATTTTCTTTGTCTTGAGGCTGTAAAGGTTGGCTACTAGCCCACAAAGGGGGTCGGCTCTCCTTGGTCTATCAGGAAGTGGGCCCGCTGGATTCGCAGCGCCCCTCACCATCTCTGCCTGGTCTCTCAGGTTGTGGGCCCGCGGGATTTGCAACGCCCCTCACCATCTCTGCTCTTTGTTCTCAATAAACTCACTCTTTTCTAAAATTCTTCAGGTCCGGAAATTCTTCTTTCAACCCGCGCTCGGACCACGACATTTTGGTGGCCTGTACGGGGACATCTCCGGGGGGATCTCCCCCCCCACCTCCTCTCCTCATTCCTTGGGACCGTCTGTGAACAGGCAAACTGCTGTGGAAGCAGCAGAGCAACTCTGGCCAGGGCCCCACCCTGGTGTGTTCCGAAGGCTCCACGGCTCGCTTTGCCCCAGTAACTGCCGCCCAGAACGGGTGAGGGTCCCTCTGTCTCCCTCCTGACTGCAGACTGGGCCGATTGGTATCGTGCGGGCACAGGTCAGGCATTTAAAAGCCATTAGGGCGCCTGCCGCTTTAAGACTCCCGTGAAAGGATAAGAGGGTCACGGAACAGACCAGGCTGTTAGTGCATCTGCCCCCAGCAAGACAACTTCCTGCACCGTGAGGCGCGTATTGGTTCAAGCAGAACACTGAGCCCCCTCCCCTTGGCCGCCGCCTTCCCGGCAGGACTACAAGGCCGATTCCTCAGCCTGTCTTCTCTGTTACACTTTCACCCTTTTCTCCGTCCGGGTTGGCTTACAGGAGCCTAAGTGTTGCCTCTGAGCCATCCCAGGAGTGCTTTTCACATTTCAGGGCATCGCCAAGCGGTGAGTCACCCGGTGGGTCCCGGGAATCTCTCTCTCTTTTCTTTCTTCCCTGCCCGAGTCGCATGGTGCCCCAGTCGCATGCCCAGGGGTCACCTCTCATGGTTGGACGCGATTGTTGGGACGGTCGCCCCATTTTGTGCCTTAGTCACACGGAGAGATCACCGGGACGAAGGGGACGCCTCTCTGTCAGCTGGTGACTCTCAGTACCCCCTTTCTATGGCATACAGGCTAAGAATGGGTTCTGCTACATCTCGGGAGCTTCCTTCAGACTCACCCCTCGGCTGTATCCTCAGAAACGGGAAACATTTGACCCTGAAAAATCTCAAAAAGAAGAGGCTCATTTTCTTTTGTAACACGGCTTGGTCCCAGTATAAACTGGGGGCCCGAGAACAATGGCCTCCTAATGGCACACTAAATTATAACATGATCCTCCAACTTGATCCCTTTTGGCGGAAACAAGGAAAGGACTCAGAGGTTCCTCACGTCCAGACCTTTATGGCCCGTAGTCAGAATCCCGAGCCGAGGGACTGATGCCGCACGTGTCTTTCTGTTGCCGCCTTATCCTCCCGGCCCCCTCTGTCTCCCTCTCCAGCAGATCTCCTAGACGACCCTTTACTCGACTTCTCCTGTCCCCCGCCCCATGAACCACCTGCTTCAGCCACCGACTCCATCTCAACCCACAGCTCCCCATCAGCCACCCCCTTATCAGGGCGAAAGCCCCCCTCCCCTCCCCACACAAGATCCAGGCCTGCCCAATGCCAGGAAGTAGCAAATGGAGACATGGGCACTATTAGAGTCCATGTTCCCTTTCCCATGTCTGGCATTTCCCAAATTCAGACCAAGTTAGGTTCCTTCAGTCAGGATGGCCACAATATTCTTTAGACTCCAGGGCTTCCCTGGTGGCGCAGTGGTTGAGAGTCCGCCTGCCGATGCAGGGGACACGGGTTTGTGCCCCGGTCTGGGAGGAGCCCGCATGCTGAGGAGCGGCTGGGCCCGTGAGCCATGGCCGCTGGGCCTGCGCGTCCGGGGCCTGTGCTCCGCAGCGGGAGAGGCCACAACAGTGAGAGGCCCGCATACCGCCAAAAAAAAAAAAAAAAAATTCTTTAGATTCCAGAGAAAATTGGTTAAGATAAAAATTTTTTGAGATTGCAAAAGGGGTTTCTTTTTGCAAGTGCAGTTAGAAAAGCTAGTCCTTTGAAATAGTTTTTTCAGAATCCTGACCCTGAGGGAACAAAAATATGCCTAGGAAAAAGTCTAAAGTTAACTCTTATCATGTCCTTGAGCTACAAACACAGCCCACTTTGCCTGAGACTTCAGCCTTGGGTTTAATTAGTAGAACTTCAAGCCAAGGGGAAAAAAAAAAAGAGGCAAAGAGACATTTTAAATCTCAAGTGGAAACTATGAGATCTCTGACTGTCTGGATATATAGTGTATGTCTCAGTATGTGTCTTTGTCTTTGGATAATATTGCTGAGGTTAATTTGTAAATGAGCTCCATTTAATTGGCTTAAAAGGAAAGTAAGCACTTACAAATAAAACAATTCTAAAACAAGAAAAATTAAGCTAAATAAATTTCAGGTTCACGTGAACTGGGAAATATTCAATATTAAATTAATACCTGGTGTTAATGTTTATGTTTGTTGATCTAATTGATATAGACATGTCTTGAGCCATCAACGTTAAGTATAATACTTTTATTGTGCCTAAGTTTAATATAAACTAAATAAGATCTTATTATATCTGTTGCAAATTTGTCAGCAATGAAAATAACTCAGTGTGAAGAAACTTTTTTTTTTTTTTTTTCGCGGTACGCAGGCCTCTCTCTCCCTGTCGTGGCCTCTCCCGTTGTGGAGCTCAGGCTCCGGACGCGCAGCCTCAGCGGCCATGGCTCACTGGCCCAGCCGCTCCGCGGCACGTGGGATCTTCCCGGACCGGGGCACGAACCCGTGTCCCCTGCATCGGCAGGCGGACCCTCCACCACTGCGCCAGCAGGGAAGCCCAATGTGAAGAAACTTTTAAGAAGAGAGAATACAAATGAGATAAGAACTTTGGGTGAACCTTTTAGGAATAATTATGTTTTAGAAATGTCTACTTAGGAATAATCTCTCCAGATATTCGACAACTTAAAACATTTAGAGTTGTGCTAAATTAAGTAAAAGGATGGAAGTTTATTAAATAACTAGGCCATTTCCAAATAAAATAAGATACTGAAACATTAATTACTGAACACTGGCTTCCTTTTACAGAGAAACAAAAGGTTTGGAACTATTAAAATAATGTGTTTGGTGCCACACTGAGATATTTTCTATAAGAAAGCACATTCTTAAAAAATTATTATTTGGATGTATGTTTACCAATCTACAGAGTGCTGACATAAAGGACAGTTCATGGTTGCTTAAGGAAAGTAGGATGCATGTTTTTAGTAAAAAAAAGGTATGAGGAATGGAATTACATTTTATTAAGAAAAAAGGAAGTAGGTCTAATTTAGAGTTGACTGCTCCTGAATGGAAAAATAAAGTGAGAGATACAGAAAGTGATAGAAAGTTTTGTGAAAAGTGGCCCCTGAGGAAAGAGTTTTATGCATGGTCAGGACTGACTAAGTTTATAATGAATTTAAGTAAATGAATTTTAAAAGTAAGCTGGTGCAAAACTTGAATTTGGCTTTTCTTTCTGTTAAGAGGACAAGTTTTCTTAAAATGTTGAACTGCCTCTGATAACAGATTTTAAATTTACCTCTTAAGTGATCTGTTCTGTACTTGCCTTTGAAATCTTTTATTGTCACCTTGGCTAAGTAAGTAACTATTGCTTCCTTAAGTGCTGTGTTCCACAACAGTAACCAAGTTACTTTG